TTACTGAACTATGAGTTCTCATTGCAAATGTGATATATTAAGTTTTATATTACTACACTTGGAGATTATTCCTCAACTGAGGCACAGAAGCTGCATAAGATATAACTGAACATACCGGGTCCAGTACAGGAGTGATGAGTAGTCCAGGACCCCATAAGAACTGCCTATCAATCGCCCATGTTGCTTCATCTGAATAGAATCTAAATAAAAGAGAAAGCAGTCACATCATTTTATATAATTACTATATTTTTAGGGACAGCACTTAATGATTCAAGGTACTGATTCCAGGCCATCTCCCTAGGAACATGGTAAAACTAATAACTGCAAACTTATAATTTGTTTTTAGCTCCACAAGAAAAAAAAATGTACATGCCAGTATATATTCTCATGTTTACTTGAATTAGTTAATATAGGAAAACATAAATATTTCTTGTTTGGAGTCCCTTTAAGAGGGAGCATAAACCCCTGTTGTAGGATCCCAGTATGTAATGCGGGAGTACGCCACTAGCAGTTAAAACCCCAGAGAAGCAAAGAGAAGGTGGTGAGTGGTGAAAGGAAAAGAGCCAGGAGGCAGACTGGAACCCAGATAACCTTGCTACCAGAAAGGGGCCACATGACAGTACTGGGCCAGAGCTAAAGGGCTTTTCTTACCGCCCAGAGAAGGAGTGAGTTTTGTTTGCTCATTTTAAAAACAGGGCTTGTCTTGTCTTTTTGCCATTGCTAATCCTTCCTATATATGCCTACTTATTTGTTTGTGTGATGGGCTAGCTGGTAATGATTTGGCCCAGGGGTTTTGAAAGTGCAAAAGATGACTGGAGGGCTTGGGATTCCCTTTCCTCACCAATCAGGTCCCAAAGACTCACCCTCCATGTCCCCCGATTGGCTCCAGGGTCATCTGGAGGGGGATAAAAGGGGGCAGTGCAGCTAACTCAGGGGAGACCAGTGAGGGACCATGAGGAAAGTGTTTCAAAGAGCTGGCAAGAGCTGGGCCAGCGGGGCAGGAGCAGTTGCCCCAGAAGAGCCTGAAGGAGTGGGACCTGAAGGCAGCAGGATGGGCTGCCGGCAGGAGAGGCTCCCCGCTGGGCTCCAGGATCGGCTATGAGAGGCTGTGGCAAGCAGGAGAGGCTCCCCAGCTCTAGCAAGAAGCTGAGCAATGACCTGAGAGATTCCCAGCTCTGCTTCCATCTCCTCCAGCAAGAGACTTAATATGAGGCAGGGGCCCCTGGAAGGTCAGAACCCCTAGCAACTTGGAGCAGTCCCAGCACTGGTGGCTGTGTGGTAGAGTTTCTGCCTCCTGCAGGGGAGATCTGAGTTCAAGTTCCAGCTAAGATGAATTGGGGTGAGTGAAGTAACAGGGGAAAATTCTTGTTGCTGTGGGAAAGGGGTCATTGTGTTTCCTTCTTTCCTTCTCTAAGTACCTAGGCCCTGTATTTCTTGTTATTTGACGTTTTGTATTTTGTGCATTTTATATTTCACCAACCAGTATTGTTTATTCTGCTGTTGGTGTTTTATATTTTTGTTAACCCTGTCTTTTGTCAACTGGATGAATATGTCTATGATTGTAAGTGCTTAACCTTTATTGAATCCTACCTCCCTGGGGCGTTGTAGTGTCTCCTATACCCCTTGGTTATGGGGGGTATGTTATGTTCCCACTACTGTTTTTCTCATTAAAATGTATATAGTTAAGTCCCCATTGGTGATCTAGCTCTGCTCTATAGGGGAAGGAGGGTCCCTACACCTCCCACAGTGCTTGTGCACCTGCTCTGATCCCTTCAATTGGAGAGGGGGTACATCTTGGAATACCACCCGTGTTACATTTGTTTAGTTCAAAGACTGTTTGTGTGTATAGAGGACTGGCTGAAAAGCTCCCGAGGAAGCAGAGAGCCTATAAAACAGCAGGTATCCCAACCAGCTTCCAGAGACATCCTAGTATGCATCTCATAAAAAAAAAAAAAAAAAAGAGTCACATCCTTAACTTCTGCTGCAACGGCATACATTTTAGAGCCACTGGCAATGTTTCTTATACCTACAAACATGAAATGCGGCTATGACTTCTCTCTCTCACAAATTGTTTGCGCATAATGTTCTGCCTATTGAATTCCCTTCCCTCTTCCTAACCAACGCAACATTTATATACATTGTGATCAGTGCACTTACTCGTGAAGAAGTGGCCTCACAACTGTGCTTCCTTGCGTATGAGCTTTGTAAAAGAGGGTGTAGAGGTACGGCAGCAAAGTGTAGCGAATGTTCAAGTAGTGCCTTGACGTCCTTACCAGAAGAGAATCTGCTCCAAATGCAGCAGGATCTTGAGGCTGGCAATAAAGGTTAGAGGATTATTGGTATAGAGAGGGCAATGTGTTTTGGAAAGCACTGTAGGCCAAATTTCAACAAGCAGCTGAAACACTTCTGGAGTCCAAGGGAACTACTACTCAATGACCATGCAGCTGCTGAAGCCGGTGGGGAAATTGGCACAATACATACATTTATTTGCAATGTAGCTGAATCTTTTGGAGTCAGAATTTCATAAGCTTATGGACGCGAAATATCAACTGCCATCTAGTGAACTATATATGTAACCCACTTTGATTGAAATTCTAATTAAGTAGAATGTTAGAAGGCAGGAGGCAGAGCTGCTGTAGTATGCTAGTTGGATAACCCTTGTGGGCAGTAAAAACTGAGTAAAAAATGAGTAAGGACAAGAAAATAATTATATCCATAATATTTGTTCCAGTTCTGTTGTGCTAGCAGAGATGTAGCATATCCATATTCTACTGGCAAGACAGTGTAAAACACCAGCAGTAAAATATTATTGTTACCAATTTAAAGAAAAGTTGTATAAGCATCAGTTACTTACTATATTATATTCAGCATTGTGATTCCTGGAAAAGGGGTAAAATGCTCCCACTTGCATCCACCGTCTACAAAGTTCTTCTGTGGTATCATAGATAAACCCACAAATATCTGCTCCAATCTGAAGAAATATATGTTGGCAAAATACTGTAAATATAGAATTATACAGGCTGACGTAACAGTAGTTTCTTCTCTATATACTTATATCAACTGAGGTACCTCTGTGCTTTGAGAAGGGGAAGTATGTGGGTCTAATGGAATTCATCTGAGTTTAAGGAAAGGTATTTTATCTCCCGCATCACTCTTGCTTAAAAAAAATCATCAGAAGAGACCACTGGTACATAAAAAAACCAAAAGAGTATCATTGCAGGGAAAGGAATAACTCTTCTTTATAGTAAGGGTTACCAGAATCTGTTATGGGCATCCAAGTGAGGTGGTGCTCCCCCCTAACTTGGAGGTCTTTAAGAAAAGATGGGACAAACACCTGGCTGGGGTTATCTGACCCCAGCATCCTTTCCTGCCCAGGGCAGTGGGTTGGACTCTATGATCTGCCGAGGTCACTTCCGACGCTGAAAATCTATTAAATCTATGAATACAAGTCTGATGCAAATATTTTGATATCTGCATGTATCTGTATATGTACAGCAGTTCATATTGTCACTAGTAACCGACTATAGTGAATTGGGGTATATATAAATAGATTATTTTATTCTCTTTGTTCTTAATCTGTCTTTACATCACAATTCCCTCCTTGAATGTTTTTGAATGTATTACCAAACAGTTGTTGCTACCATAAAACAATATTAATAGATACAAATACAGTTAAGAATAAAACACTATCATAGGAATTCGCATCTTAAAAATGGATTTTGGACATGCCATTAGTTTGTAAATAGGTGGATCCTCCCCCATGTTTGGTGCAGTGGCAAAACAGTGCAGTGTCAACTCAAAGAGCCAATTACTGAAGAGTGAAAAATAACAAAAAGTTGACCAATGGCTTCAAACACAGATAATAACATGCTACATCATCACAGACGCTAGCCTAGTCAGAAATTGAGACATAGAAGCCGCCTTGTTTAAAGCAATACTCGAGGATGAAGGGTGAATGATTTACTCTGTTACTGAAGATAATGAATTTATGGCTTGAAGAATAACATAATTTTTCTTATTGCTATTGATTATATAGTCAAGTATTGCAGATATACACTGTTAATTCTTAATCATTGCTTAAGAAGAGTTAATATAAATAAATGTTTCATACATAAGGCATTCCAAAGAGATTAAATTCCAGCATGCCTGGTATTGCCCATTTAATGTCATTCCAAGTTGCAAAATTATCTCCCAGCCAATGTCCTGTGAATTTTCCTGACCCAGCAAAGGTAGACCTAGAAAGAATGAGGCTTCTTTTTCCAGGGAAAACAGTTTGGATGGCTCTAAAAATGAAGCAAAATTGGAATTAAAACAAAAGAATAGTAAGTTTAAATGCAGTCTGAGAGCCCATCTATGCCTACTGCTAAACCCTCCAGCCCCTTGGATTAAATACATCCTCCTCAATACTTCATTAAAGATGGTGTGAGCCTGCTAGTTTAGTCTCTTGCTCTTCAGAGGTGACAGATATAATAAAAAATATGGACAGTGAGGTTTTACAGAGTTTCTGAACTCAACATCACTCTTCACAAAATAGAATGAGAAATGAACTGATCTCAACAAAATACTTTTTTATTTCAAATAAAATGCTAATACAATGTCATTAATTTACAAAAGTAGTGAGGCCCAGCAGGCAGTCTTACTTCTAGTTAGCAGGATGTCTTTTAGTCAAGCTCCCAATGTTAAACCTCTCAATTGATTTTTTTCCTGTTTTGTCTGCTAACCTTTGAGCTAGAGCCTTAATTAGTAAATATTGGCATAATTCCACTGTTTTAAATAAAGCTACATCAGTTGAGGTCCTAACATCTGGTTGCCAGTTTGAGGGTGAGAATTCATGAGGGAGAAAATAACTGTTGAAAACTATGAATTTTTTAAACCCCACTATGCCTAACCAAGCAGAAAACAAGACACATGATAAAGGCGTGAATTTCCCTCCTCTTTTCTAACATACCCAAACCAGACCCTTCCACGTGAAATAAACATGGCTTAGTGGAATCTTTAAGGGCAAAGTGGAAAGAGACGAAGATACTTTCACCTCTGTCTCAAGACAGTAGTTCCCTGGGCTGTGTTAAAGTGCACAACCATTGCTTCATCTGCTCCTGTTTGAAATGGACTGTGTTTACACGGGCTTTAAATTACAACATCTTAAATCATTTAAACAAAGGTTAGGCATTCACCCAACATTTTAAAATATGAAATTTACACAGAATGGAGCACTGTAACAAAAAGCCCTAGTGATTTGGGGTGCTTCTTGTTTTGGATGTGTAGCTTCAGACACCAGAAAAGAATCAGATTTCCAGAGGGAGATGCTTAGCATTTTCTGGAAGAATCAAGTTTGTTTAAAGAACTGTAAAGTGAGCGCCTAAAGTGGCTAAAATATATGTCCACTTTGGATCTTTATGTAAAAATGATGAGAAAGCAGTTCTTACTTTTCAGTAGACAGGATCATGGAATATCCGTATAGACTGTGAACATCATAGTGCTTGCCCCAAGTTTGCACTGCGTCCATGCAAATTGTCTTTGAATACATGAGTCCATCCAGAATCCCTTTGGAGAAGAACACAGACCATGGCACCAAAACATCTCTTTCTAAATATATCCATTCTGGTCTCTTGATATCAATCACATGGTGGAGGGGCTTTTGTTTGCTTCATATTTACAGTAAACATAGTATTTCATGAATGAAACAAAAGGCACTGATCTGTATCTCACCTCATGCAACAGTAAGTTAGACTTGAGGCTTAGTAATTTTATTATTCTGTGTTTTAACAGAGATAGTTTTCTGCTTTAGAGCTCCCTATAGCTCGGAGCAATCAATACATAAACAGCAGAAGAATTCATCCATTACAACTAACACTGCTATAAATGCGGCTTTGGTAACAGGGTGAAGTTTAGTACATTGACATATAATGTAATTCAATTTTTTCAGAATTCAGAATGATAAAATCATGCACCATATCTAGGTGAGATTAAATAGTAACTATAGGCTCTCTTCAATGCCATCACCTTCCAATGCTTCTCTTCCTAATGCACTGTTTGTTTATTTTGCATTTATTAAGCTCACTGTGGACTTAATTATGAACCTAGATATATGACCGAGCAGAAGAGTAAAGGGTTTAAGAAGCCATCCTGATTTTTTATTTTTTCCTGAAGAGGCCATCTAGAGAGTATGCCAGTGCTGCTGCCATGTGCTCTGGGTAGACTGAGAGCAGAAGGCAGACAACTCTCCAGAAAACAATATGGTTCCTATCCTATGTCTGGGACATACTGCCCGTTTACTTGGGCCAGGCTGCAAAAGGTAAAGCCATTGGCCTTTCAGCGTTTTAGAAACAGTACCAAAGACTAAGGATAATGCACCATGTGTTTATATTTCTCATTGTCTCTTCCATTGTTATGAATGTTTCAAACACACTCAAAAAACCAAAAATTAATATTGGTATCATCGATTAATTCTGTCACAAAAACAGTTGGACTTCTACCATACAATATGAATATGAACTCACTGGGAGTGAAAGGTGGATAGTTTAAGTTGTTTTGCTGACAGCCTCTTGTCGAACCTCTAATAAAGCTGGATACTTCATTCATATCCTGGTAAAACAAACAAGCAGATTTGGTTGAAGTATGTTTCCTTAAATGCACTCTGTGCATTCTTTTCATCCTAGCTCTTTAAAAACATTTTGATAATGTGATATTGGTAGCTCCAATTTAAAATACAAATATATAACTAAAATATCAAACCTACTCATTCACATATTAATATAGGCTCTTATGTTTTTCTTTGTTAGCTGTCTCATGGTAATGTGTCTAAGATAACTTACCTATTTATTCACAGGAGCAGGCTTATGAGTATATGAAAAGTATGTATGCATGATATTAATATCCTATTTTAAGTTGACAAAATGCAACAAGTATATTGCTAGAATGACATATCCAATATTTGTTATTTAAAAGAGTTAGATATTAGATTATATGTTAGTTATTTGAAAGAACAATATTAAATTGCGGGGCACAAACTTTACCAGAAGACCTAAATAAATACAAAGAAAATTGTTTTTATGTATTGCAACTACTAGAAACAATAAGAATGTTGACATAGATTCATTTCATATCCTATACCTTTGATCAACCCCATTGTTTTGCTACAAACAAAAGACAGAAAGTCCAATGATTTCATGTATGCTAACAAAAACATGAAGCAACAGTTAAGGTCAGAGTTGCACCATTGGCAATATTAAGCACCAATAGGTATCCTGCTAACCTCTAATCTCTATCATTTGGCGTTCACCACTGAATAAAAGGGTTTGCTGACCCCTTTATTCAAGGGCTGATATAGCTTATGTAAAGCAAACCATTGGTTACATTAAGACATTAATTACATATCAATTTTTATTCCAACAGAAACATAACTTTACAAGACTGATATCTGCTAGTACTCAGCACACAAAAACAAACATCATGATAGTCAATGAGAATCGGGTCCTTTATACACAGACTATTCTTTAAAACGTTTGCTTTGTCCTGTCTAAGGATTTGTCTGAAACTGGAGGTTTGATTGTGGCATATGTAGCAATGCTTGACTAGCTTTAATTTAGGTAGTTCAGAAAAAGCAGTGGAGACAATAACTTGACTGCAGTACAGGCTCTAGCAAAGACCTAAGCTTCCAGATTGTGTTCAAATGTTGTGAAAGCCCTTGGAACAGCATCTTAAGTGCTACTGTTATCTAAGCTACCTACACCAAAGGTTGATTTGTTATACTCGATCATATGGCAATCATTTCTTGATGATTGCCACATGTGGACATGCCCTATAATACTCTCCTTCTGTCTGGAATCAAAAAAGGTTTTGTTTCCTTTCTTATGTAGTGTCATACAACATTAAACTTGACTGCTGAATTTGCATGCATTCTTGGTGACAACTCCAGCAGGGCAGAAATGAAAAACCATCTGGCCCTTTCTCACCTTCAGTATTACCTGTCTCTGCTGGTGCTTTTGTTTAAAAAACAATTTGACTACATGAAGAAAAAAAAAACCTCAGACAGTGCCTTCAGTTAGAAAGCAAATGGAGTCTCAGTACACCAGGGAATGCTCTGAGATTAGGTAAGACCAAAACTCTTTGGCTGGGAACAGATATTACACATAAACTGGTATAAGTGATTGAAAACCAGTTTAAACCTGTAACAGAACAGAAGTTCAGTGCACATAAATAGGTTTCAAAATGGCCAAAACCAGTTTAAGATAGACCTGGACGGATATAGTATCAAATTTAACTACTTAAGGTTAAACTGGTATATCAAAATTCTGTTCCAGATCCACTCCCACCCAACACAAGTTAGGTCTCAATCCCCCTGTATCCCAGGATGCATTGCAGCCCCCCTGCCCCCACCTTGCAGATCAGGTCCCACCCTTGGCTGTCACATTGCTAAGGCAGCCTCCCCAGCTCTCATCAGCCATGCTCTCTGGGGGGGGGGGGGGGGCATCAACGAGGAGGGGAAGGAATGGATCCCCACTCAAGCTGGCAGCTGGAGGGGGTGGCGAGGGTAGCGGGGGATAGGATGTTCACAGCCCAGCAGAGCCCTGATGCAGTAGGAAAAGCCCCCACCTTGGGGGCTTCCTCCTGTCACTATGCAGGCACTGGCTAGGGACTAGAGCAACAGCACATTCCCCCACCTCTCCCCCATGGCTGACAGGTAGGGGGCTGCTGAGGGGGTAGGGCTAGGAGTATGCATGAGCACCCCTTACCTTCTGGCCTTGGCCAATGTGGACATTTGCCTGCCTTAGCCAACTGTTGAGTGAATGTATACTCTAGGGACAGAGCATTTCTTAGAGAAAGTTGTGTAGATTGAATCGATTCCACCTTGGGCTTTTTGACTGTCTGTACTTAGCCTCTGGTGAACTGAGGTCAGACTATAAACCATTACATCCCTTCAAGGGCACAGCAGTCTTCCCTCCAGTTATGTGGCCAGTTAGCTTCACATAAGTATAAAGGAAGCAGCCTTTCTTTATTACTGTTTAGGGCCTGGGCAAAGTCCCCCATTAACAGCATGATGCTTTATGGAGTTCAGGGTCTAAAATTCTACCCTGCCCCTATCGAGTACATGAATGATTGATAGCCAGCTTCTTACTGCCCCTTGTCACTGCTTGTCTACACAGAGGTCAGCCAGAAGCTGGCTATGGGAACTACATGAGGCAAGTAAATATGCTTTAGTAAATTTGGTTTAATTCAGATTTAGAAACAGAAACAAAATAACAAACATTCAAGGAAATGCTCAGTGAAATCTGATTGTTAATGCCTTAAATATAAAGGTACTATGTACCTAATGTGTTGGCTTCATCTGTTTAAGAGACGCTGAACCAGGAAATGTATTTTGTGATTTTCTGTCAGATTACACATTGTATCTTCAAATCCTCATAGACATCTTCAGTAATACTACAACTGATAGGAGACTTGCAATTTTTTTTTATACAAGATGGCACACCCTGTTTGTGTATATATTCCTTTATACACAGTGTAAATGATATGCATGAGAGGACATGGGCACTTAGGCTGAAGCAACTTGATTTTAGTGGCCAGCTTACTTTATGCAAATGTTTAGCTTTCTGAAAGAGACCTTTATATATTATACTTTACCACTGGACTCAGATCTAAAATGTAATGACGAAATCTTCAATAAAAAGTATACTGTCACTTAGCAGAAAAAAGTTTGAATCTCACTGAAGGGGCTAAGAGCAATTATTTAAAATTGTCATGACTGTTTGGAAAGCAAGACATGCTGCTCACTATTTTGGGTTATTTTTTCCTCACTCCCTGTAATTAGTTTTACTTAAAAAAAAAAAAAAAATCAAAAGAGACAGAGAGATATAGAGAAAAGAAAAAAATATGATCACCACTTCTTTTGTTAAAGAACTCTATCACTGAGCCATGCTGAAGTGTTTTTATGCCAAGTGCACAGAAAAGGAATCACTATATAGTGAAACAATACAGCCATTATTAAAGCAGAAACATGTCATTAAAACATCTATTCTTATCTTCTTTGCCAGGCACATTAATAGTGAATTAGCTAAAATCATACAATCATAGAAAATTAGGGTTGGAATGAACCTGAGGAAGTCATCTAGTCCAACCCCCTGCTCAAAGCAAGACCATCCCCAACTAGATCATCCCAGCCAAGGCTTTGTTGAGCCTGGGCTTAAAATCTCCAATGATGGAGATTCCACCACCTCTCTAGGTAACGTGCTCCAGTGCTTCACCACCCTCCTAGTAAGAAATGTTTTCCTAATATCCAGTGTAAACTTCCTTTGCTACAACATGAGACCATTACTCCTTCTGTCATCTGCCAACATGAGAACTGTCCAAAGCACTGCAAGGGATCTCCATGAACAGCCAATAAGTCTCCAGCAGTTTCACATCCTCCCCTTCCCCCGGAAATGCAAAGTAGTTAAAGTATCAAAAAGAGGAAAAATTATTTTCAAAATTAAATATAAAAGTAAAATTGTAAATACAATAGGAATGTGTGTGCATGTATATGGCATGCTTGGATAAATGAAGAATAGTAATCAAGTCCAACTTTTTTATTAAAACTCTATACTGGTCAAATTTTTGACTTTATGAATTTCCAGGAGAAAGCTCTCCCAATGTGGTTACATTTAATCCAGACAAATGACCACTGAATCTAACATTCAGTTGGCTCAAACAAATGAGACTCTCCAGCTCTCCACCTACAATATAGTCCCAGCCTTTCTATTCACAGCGTCTACCCATTCCTTTCCTTATGTAGGATTCAGAAAGCCCCAGAGTTTTGTATTTCAAATCATGGAAGTATAGAAGGTCCCCTTAGTTGCACAGGAAGTGCAGTGCTACCATTTGCAATGGTATTATTTGCAATGTAGAGGTCAGACCTAACAATTAGGAAGAAAGGTGAAATAGAGTCTACTGATTAAAAAAAAATAATAATTCTTTTAATTTGAAACAAACATCCTGAGATGTTACAATGCATCCTTTATGTTCTTTTCTCTGAAGTGCATTTGTCATTATCTTGCTATAGGAAAGGAAAAGGAGAAGAATTTAAAGTCTCTGTTAGATGTTTTTATAACTATCTACTTCCCAGCAAGTTATATATAACTACCTACTTTCCCTGTGGAAGAAGGTAGCAAATATGAATAAAAAGATTTCCTTTAACAAGTGTTTAATGCCTGCTATTGGCATTAGGCTTAGGACCAATGTTTAGAGCATTACAATAGCCAGGAAAAACAAATATCAAACTTGTTTGTCCGAAGTGAATGGCAAAACTCCCATTGGTTTCAACATTGCCTGCATTTCATTAAATGTCTAGTTTTGCAACTAAAAGATTAGTATATTAGTAAGCCACATTTTGATATTAATAATTCAATAAATGTTCCCAAGGCATAGTGAGAGATGAGAAAGGAAACATGCTGTGTTCAAGCTTCTAATTGCCTCCATTCCCCTAAAATATAAAAATGTGATAGCTTACAATCCAGATTGCATCATATTGTACTTGATCATGAAAAATCTTGCATTCTTCAGCCCACCAAGTGGTACAGTCTGGATTGGTGAAATCTGGGAACACAGTCAGTCCTGGCCATACCTAGAATGTAACAGAGGAGACAGTAACTGGTTAGTTATATCAGAAAAGATTTAATTTAATGTAAGGAACATTATAAAAAACGTTCCCATTTGTTAGTAATATTTTTCCAGTATGTAAACCCTCCCCGAGTGTAATCTTATAATAATATTAGCACAATCAAAGGAATATTTTTTGTTCTACATATATGGCTTGGGAAAATTATCTTGTGATTCTCAGAACAATTAAGTATCCTAAATTCAACTATTAGTTGCTTATAGTCTTTCTTTTTTTCCTCCATTTCCATGCAATTATAGCAGGTGGCAGAACTACAATAAAGAACAGGTTTTCTGTCTCATTTGCTTTGAAGTCCACTTTTGCTGAAGTGTACTTCTAATAATGTAAGAACACTCAAAGCTGCCTTGTGTACATTACTGTGAATAGTTTCCAAAAATGGAATTATCAGAAGAGAATGGTCCCATTTAACAATATCCTCCTCCTGTCGGCTTAGACAGGAAAGATAAAGAAATTCCATTTTCCTTACTATCAGGTATGGTTTTGCCCTTACTCTGTATATATAGTCGTCATCAGGGATCCTGTTTTTTTCCGATTAAAAAAAAAATCCCCAGTTTTCACATTAAAAACAGTAACCTAAAATCCACATTTTTCTGCAATTAAAATGCAACGCCGTTAATATATAGATGAGCTGAAACCCACAGAACATTTGCCATTAAATTTTTATTGTAAAAGTATTTTGTTAAATACAGGATTTTTAGTGGTCTTTTTACTAAATACTTTAATGGAATCAAAACTTCTCACCCTCATCAAGGCTACATAAAGCTGTCCATATGAAAACACAGGCATAGGAATATAAATACATATTTTGTCTAAAGTCTGACCTTGTGACTTGTTTATAGTCATAGAATAAAAGGGCCCTTATACACGTGACTAAGGGCCTTGTACACTAGAAAATTGCCCCTTTTAGTGATTTAAATGCACTTTTTGATTATTTAATTGCATAACAATGTACATATTCACCAGCATGTTATGATTACATTTCGTAACAGTGTACACATTTGGCAATATATTTCGATTTAAATGACTTTTTTTTACGTAGAAAACTAAAACACATCCCATGTATTTTAGTCTGCTACATAAATTACAGTGATATTCCACATGTGTACAAGGGCCCTATCCAGAGAAGGTGGAGAGGATAGTGCACAAGGCACTGGAAGCCCAGGCATGCTCAGGGAAGCTTGGGCTTGGCAGGCTTCCAGTGCCCTATGCACCATCCCTGCTGCCCTCTATAGCTGCCAGCACACCCAGCTACCCTCCTGCCACTTTCCTGGGGCAGCCAGCCCATTCCTGGGCAGTCTCAGGTGGCAGGGACGGTGCATGGCAGAGGCCGCAGAATTGGGTGGGCCACCCGGGCCGTGGCCCAACCAACGTTTAGCACAGTGATTCAAACACAGCCCTGCTCCCTGCCTGCCTCCCTCCCTCCCACATGTGCTCTGCTACCTGCAGCCCCCCCAGGAGGGAAGAGTGACAGTTCTCTACAGCCAATGGAGATGGGCCCAGGTAATTGGGCTGCGGGAGAGGCGGGCAGGCTCTGGGGAAAAAAAAAAAGGGATTGGGCCCCTTACCTCTTTATTTCTCCTCCCCCCCCTCACTCCCCACCCCCTTCAGCAGAGCCTGCCTGCTCCATGGCAGGGGATCCTGGTGCCTCATTTTAGCTCTGACTTGCCTGCATATCTATTTGACATGCCTCAGGATATATACATGACAACACACTTATTCTGTGTGTCCAGAGCACTCTGATCAGTTGTTTCAATAAGCATTGTGATTGGCTGCTGAGACAACCAGAGTGCTCTGGACAAATAATAATAATAATAATAATAGACATATATAGTGGTGTTTCATTTTAATCATGGAAAAATGTGGATTTGAGGTTATGTTTTTTAATCCAAAAATTAGGGATGTTTTTAAATCAGACAAAACTAGGATCCCTGACTATCATAGACTTTAAAGAGTGTGTTGTACTAGGAATTAAAATAGCATACAACACAAAGATTTAAGATCAAAATTACAAAGATATTTAAGTGCAATAATCAACTACCAGGGTTTAAAAAGTATTTACCCAGGTTAGGCACTTGATTCTTCTTGATTTAGATGTGAGATAAGCATGCAATTTTGCATCTTTTGGTACCTAAATACCTTTGTAAATCTGGCCCTTCCAGTCTTTTATTGTATACAATGACAACATTTCATTGAGGAAAAAGGCTTGGGCCCACATGGATTACTGTATAACCACCTAAAAGTCATATTTCCTTTTTTCTGCTAAGTATTTTATATGCATGTATATATCAGTATATATTATATATGTGTTTCTCCTAATGTAGGTTTAAATTACAGTATTGCAAGGTTTAGGGTCTGAAAAAATCATGAAAAAAGCCAAACAGCAACATATTCATGCCTGAATACAATATGCAGGCCTTTGTTTTTCTCTTTATTCTGCTTGACACTACCTTGTATTATAAAATTAATACAATTTACATTTTAAACAGGTAGGGGAATGGCAGATGTCCTAAAGTTCATTCTAATTCATTTTTTAATTATACAAATAAGCAACATAATTGGTGAACATTAGAGACTGAATTTCAAAGACTTAAAATGGGAATTCGGCATCTACTTGCCATTGAAAATCAATAGGAGTTGGCTGTCAAAATGTTGTTTGAATCCTGCAATTTTCTCCTAGTTTTCCTTCCTTAACATTTAACAGTTTTTATTTTTTTTTTTTAAAGATGAAATCAGTGGAAATTAAGTTAAGTTATCTCAAATGCTAATGATTAAGGCATTGTAAACTAAAGTTTCCATCAATAGCTAATTCTGACAAAAGAAGAAACCTGGGAAATGGAGCTTTTAAACAAAGACATTAACCCAACCTTAACTGCTAAGGCAACAATTATTGACAACATGAGGAGTTTTGACTTTGTAATAGCTGGTTACCTCTCCGATGAGTTTTGTCACTCCATCTGGTTCATTTACCCAGACTGCCTTGCTCTGTCCTCTTTCATAGGCATCATAGGTACCATTAATGAGCGGGTTTATGCTAATGGCAGGGTCCTAACAAAATAAACACAATAGAAAGCATACCAAGATCTTCCATTTTCTGCAGCATTATAGAGGTAAGGCAAAGTTTTATCAAGTACATACACATTTTTTTTTATGATGTATACAAACAATTATTACATGATGATAATACAGTCATTTCAGAAAAGAAATGAAATGGTTACATCATTACCAGTATGATGATGTATTTTTGTCCATGGTTATGTAGGTCAATAGCAAAGTTGGGGAGATCTTTAAATTTCACTTTATCATAAGTAAAGTCTTTCTTGTTCTCCATATAGTCAATATCTGTGTATTGAACATCCTGAAAGACAAGGCAGTTTGCTTTAGTATTAGAATTGATACCCTAGAGCTTGGAGTGCTCCGATATCATGTTCTTATAATTCCTGCTTACTCTGGAACAAACTTACTTTGGTTATTTCACTGCAGACACACAGAAAGAATGCTGTTGAGATAATTTTCATTCATTGTGAGAAACTGCAATGACTGTAATGCAAAGAACACATAAGCTACAAGCTTTATGGATAGAGAAGTGGAAACTTAAAGAAAGCACAAATGGCAACTATGCACCCCGATACCATTGAAATCTCATGATTGTTCAATGTTTAAGTGCAACCTGTGCCTTTTAAAAACTTTCCTCTACAAGACTAATCTGCAGTAAGAGGTGGCATCTGTAAAGAATAGGGAGGAACAAAAAGGGCTGCCTTTACGACTGATACTAGGGTCACCCTAACAGGGCAAAGTAGCACAACTTTGTTCAGTGATAGGAAGTATGTTACATTGCTGTGCTATGCTCGAAATGAGCTGTCATTACAGTATGTGTGAGCTCAGGATGTACCACAGCACATGAGTGGCTGCCTAGTCTCAGTCAGTAGCTGACAGAGTAAGTCCTCTTCAGTCTGGGATGCATTGACTGTGATCCCTTCTCACAGATTCACTTGTTTGCTAAATTAGGGTAAGGATTTTTCAGAAATGTCCAGGTAACTTACTTGCATTTCATTACCAAATCTATGGGACTTAGGCATCTAAGTTATTAGGCACTTTGGGAATGTTACCCTAACTTCTCTTCTGTTGTTGCACAGGACACTGTCTGCTCTCCTACCTGCCTTGTGCAGCTGTAAATCTAAAGAAGCATTTAGCTGTGTGGGCTACAATTTAATCTCAGTCACACTGGTGTAATAGACTTTAATATCCCTGAAGTTATGGGAGACAGGCCAGGCAACAGAGAACTAGAAAAGGGTCAACAAAGTGCCCTTCTTTAAAAAGGCAAGAAGGAGGACCTATAGACTGCTTAACTTATCTCAATACCTGAGAAGTTACTTAGGCATATCCTAAAGAAGGTCACTTACAAGCATCTGGAGGAAGAAAGGCCAATTGCAAGTAGCCAACATGGATTTATGAAAAACAAATCATGTCAAGCTAACCTGATGTCCTTTGACAAAGTAACTACTTCCATAGATGAAGGGAATACTGTAGATATAGTGTATCTGGACTTCAGAAAGACTTTTGACAAGGTCCCACATGACCGTCTCATAAACAAATCAGAAAAATGTGGGCTGGATAAAACTACTGCAAGGTGAATAGATAACTGGCTCAGTAGTCACAAGCAAAGGTTAATTATTAACAGGTCCATGACAGAATGGCAGGAGGTTTCGAGTGGAGTCCCAAAGGCATCTGTCTTGGATCCAGTGCTGTTCACCTGGCTGGATGACAGGTGAACATCTATGGAAAAGGACTTGGCAGTCTTGATACATCACAGACTCAATATGATTCTGCAGTGTGATGATGCCGTGGCACAAAAGGCCAGTGTGGTTTTGGGTTGCATCAATAGAACCATTAGTGTAAGACACAAGAAATGATAGCGACTCCCAACTTGGCACTGGTTAGGCCTCATCCAGAGTAGTCTGTGTAGATCTGGGCTCCACATTTTAAAAAAGGACATGGATAAGTTAGAGAAGGTCCAGACACGGGCAATGATCAAAGGCTTGGAAGGCAAGTCATACAAGGAAAGACTGAAGGAGCTAGGTATATTCTTCAACTTGCAGAAAAGGCGCTTAAGGGATATAATAGTCCTTCCAGTATTTGTAGAATGCTATCATAAAGAAGAGGGAAAGCACCTTTTCTCTCTTGCTGCAGGGAAGAGGACACAAACCAATGGCTTGAAGTTGCAGCAAAGTTTAGATTGGATATCAGTTTGACCAATGGGAATGGTGAGGCAGTGGAACAGACTGCCCAGTAGGCCTGTGTGAAGTGGCTAGTATTTGCTTTGGATTCGGATGATTCAGGGGACAGTGATTCGATTCAGTGATTTGAATCAGTCTCCTGAATTGATTCGGCTGAATCGGACTTGGAGATTTGGCTGCTGCCAAATCATCCAAATCTCCGATTCACATGGGCCCCATCCCCTGCCCACTCTCAATGGCTGCCCCACCTGGCCCCAGCTCCCGGCTCTTTGAAAAACCAAAAAAAAAAGCTGTTTGCTGCCAGGTGGGCAATCCCTGCTGCCCCCCAGGGTCCCGTGCCACATGGGGGGGGGCTCTTTTATGAGCGCCCTGACCCCCACCCATTCTCCCAGACCTAACACCCCCACCCCACGGCTGCTCCCCCCCCCCCCGCCC